CTTTGGTACGACATTGCACAATTTGTAAAGAAATGTAGAACGGTACCGTTAATGAGTTTTGTTGAAAACTTATAATCCTTCATTATTTTTCTATAAAAACCCCAGTGTTACTCTAAGCGACCTATTTGACACATTATTCACTCTAATTGGTAGATATTTTTTGAGTCGTGTGCGTCTTTTCTTGGCCGCGACATATACACATAATTTTTCTCATCCTTTAGAAGATAAACTATTATAGCCATGATCGCCAGAGAGTATTTTTTACAAAGTCGACAAACAGTCGACTTAGTTCAGGGGTGTAGCCATTTTCCCGTTGTAAGATTACTTAGCCTGTTTTGATGTTCATACTGTGGCAGACATGCACATATTGTGTGATAAACTGCTTGTTTGTTACATGATTAGGTAGTTACTAGTTTCCAGAACGTGAGTTACCTCGAAATAAGTCAAGCTGTTGGGCTTGATCCTGTTTATTCTGCGCAGGTTCATAATCGCTTTTGCGTCTGAACAGCTTTGCTGATCACAGGTCAGAATACAGTGACTTTCAGCCGATTCACTACCTGGTTGATTCGCCATTTTTTGTTAGTCCCGCTGTTGCAATATGTATTTTTCGCTCGTTGTTTGGTCTAACTCTTATTTAGACACTTTGAATTACCTATTATAGTTCTATGTAGAGCGTGCGTGTCAGTTCATCGGCTTACAACATCAGTGGCTTGCTCACATGGGTTGTCTGTCCAGTCGATGAATTTGACTCAGTCAGTCTGGTGTATATCCATGTTGTTTGCATGTTTGATTGCATCCTTGCGTCTCACGACCGCTAACGTGTTGATAGTCTGTGTGAGTGTATGTAGGTGTAGGTACATGTGATCGATCAAAGTGAGTTCTATCCGAACCCCGCTTCATTAACTCACTCATTCTGTGTTATTGACCCTAATGACTATCACCGAGTTAACTTGGGTTAAGTTCGTAAAAGCCTATTGTTTAAAGCTGTATGTATTGCAGTTGTTTAACACTCCATCACCCAAACTGCTGACTCAATGCACATCCTAAAGCTTACTTACACTTCTACTTCATACAGTATGAAAGCTTAGTTAGTGAATACGCAAGCTGATGAGGAATCTCTTGTTCCCGGTCAACCTTGGTTGACTTATTTAATGAAAGAGCAGAAATATTATCAGCTTACGAAAATGAAATTTTCTTACTGGAGATAAATATGAGACATCTCCGTTAAGAACTACATCCATGCTTTTTTTTGGTTCTAGAGAATGTGATCTCAATGAAGATCATTTTAGCACGTGCACTATGGGTAGTGTGTATTTGTTGATTACCGCGGTATGAACACGTTGACTTGTAATTTCGGGCGGTTTGAACGGATAAACGCTCTCCGTTCCATTATGTGGTGACATTCAATTCGTGCGGACAAATTGATGTGGAAATGTAGAAATAGAATGCTTTTCCATAACAGTGGAATACCTAACATTGTCCAGTCGACTGCCTGAAGGGATTTAGAACCTCCTCATCAGTATGTGGAACAACGAGTTGTCTAGTTCGACTTGACATAATCATCAGCCACAATTTGCAACGTTCCCCATCTGAAACAATCAACCACCTCCCGCCTTGTATTACATTCCTAGCCAGTGGACCTATTTCTTATGAGTCAAAGTGGGTCCGAAATTTTTCTGTTCTCGCAATTATGCGAAAATGCTTGAACGAACCATCGGAAGACGAAATGGCAAACGATCTTACTTTCGATGTCTCATCATTAAATTGAAGACGACACATCTATGAACTGTCTACTAGGATGAGATTAACCGGATGAATCTGTTCAAAAGCGTGATAAGATTACGTGAAACGACAGATTAATCAGAAAGCCCGTTTATATGCTTGCTGTACTGCGAGTGACAATGACTGTAAACTGGTGACTGTGAGCATTGTGAATATTGACTACCAAATCTTACTTATTGATATAGCTAATTGACTGTTACTTTGAATAGTGAATATACACTCATTATTAAAATGCAGTTTATGAAATGGACAATGTCAAGTCTACTCTTCTTCCACTACTGAACTCTTTTTATCATTGGAACTCGAAAACGAAGTAGATTCCATATAATGTACTGCTTCGTAAAGTTTATCAGCATTTAGTGGTTCTTTTGAGTCCGCTTTACATAGAAGGCTCCAATTAGCTTTTCATATTGCTTTTGAGTCCATTTGTGCAAAATCGAGCGTCGTCTATACTAAACTAGGTGTGCAACACCGTGCACATCTAAGGTGAGACTGACTCTCCACTGAATATCGAGTTCAGTTTCTCACTCTGTCTCCCCCGTATCATCACAGTTTATATTTTCTTTCGAATTTCAAACGGACGAAACCAAAAATTTAAGCAAATTTAGTCACCATATTTTCTATGAAGACATTTTGACGTAGTTTACAAACGTATTGCCTTTTGTTCCTACAATTCGTCGTGCAATATCTTTGAAGTACTTTCAATCAGCTGGTTAGCAAACGATTTCGGTATTTTGTTTTGTGTTTTTGTTTCGATCTTTTTGAGCTCATCACAAACACGGCTTATCTGTTTCGCGTTTTGTGTGGTCTCGTGTGCTCAATAAAGATCGTATTGATGATACGCGCCAGCTAAGAAAGGGTTCGTATTTCCGAGGTCATTTTGTTTGTTACAGCTATTTTTACCCATCTCAACTGATGTATTTTGTTGAACGTACGTAAGTTTGTAGCCTCCAATAAGATTCGAGTTAGATTTGGGACGAAGATTGTCGTCATAGTCAGCAATAATATATCAGCGGCAGACATTTGTCTACTATACAACCAGAAGAAGAGAAGCGGACGTCCAGTAAAAGGACGCAGTGATGAGAAGAATGAACTTATCCCGGTCTATTCTCACATTAGAAGCTGAACAGGTCGCTGGATGCAGTTGTAATACTGCACAAGTCTCAGAGGATCTGCTGCTGTAGTAGTCCCGAAGCGTATGTTTTTTGTTTGACAACTGATAGGGCAATGTCTTTAAGTTAAACTAGCAAACAAAGCACAGTCGATGACAGCTTTTGGTCTCGTTAATGAATAACAGTAATGGAACTCAGAGGCGACGGAGTTAACCTAGTCGACTGAATCACGGTTGGAATTCAGGCGATGTCTGTTTGAGAAAAACCGCTTTGTCGGTTACCGATGTAGGGATTATGGTACAAGTTCCATAAAACATGTCTCATGAGGTAAAGATGAAGAGAAATTAATCAGAGGCTTGTCACCGTCGGGCAGGTGCAGTTGTCGTCTCGATTGTCATTAACTACTTCCAGATTTCTTCACACAAGTTCGAACGGCATCTTTTTACATGCAGAACATCGTGTTTTAAACCGACTTTCACTGTTGTACAGGTTTCATTTGGGAATTTTACTACGCTCGAACGTTCGGATCTACTTTTGGACTATTGCGGGTGGTCATAGACGCGTTTGCACAACCTAATCATTCTTCTCAGGTGAAGCTGTGTTCTACCCACATTGGACTAAATAACAAGGCGGAAATCTGTTGTGCACAGAAAGTTCGCTAGTTGTATAGCAGATACATCATAACTTCGATCTGAGAATCTCGGAGTGGTTTAGACTGTGGACCTATAAGTCTATGGTGAGGATGACCGACCACACTATGCTACTCGTGAGTAGTCGGGTAGATATATGCATTGAGGCATTGAAGGAACCAGAGAAAAATACAAGAAACAGAACAAGAAAATATGTTTTTCACACACGAAATTTTCATTGACAAATGGGGACCTCTGGGATTATGGTTATATGCGAACGAGTTTTTGTCATTGTCGTGCTGTTGAGGCATGTGCAACCTGTCTCAATTTTCCGAATAAACACACCATACCACCTGCGTTTTGGGTTCACAACATTTGTCCGAGGGTAGAGTGAGTAGAACACCATTTTTGGACTCTGTACCATAATGTCGGGAAATGACCTGAATCCTATGCGATGTAATCGCGCATATACGTAATGGGAGCAGGTGCTTTTCGAAAACACCGTATATTTGTGATTGGCCCCTGTCATTTCCATCAGGCGGATTGAAAGAGGTAGCCCCATGCTATGGTTCCGTGGCTTGCTAATTTAACTTTTATGGGGTTGCTTCCTTGAAATAAGTGCCTCTGTACATTACCTTCGCAGTAACTCCAGAATTGAAGGTGGGCATCATGTCTGCATCCTGGTGCATTCATTTGGGTCAAGTAAATTTGACATAATTACACATTTTGGGAATTTGTATAAACTTCTCGGAATTTGGCGTAACTTTGAGTAGATGGTATAAAGTGCTCATATCCCTTTGTCCAGCTATTCTTAGAGCTATTTTTTTTCATGAATGCTTAAGCTCGGTACTTGTGGCATTGAATTATGGCGTTGACATCTTTACCGTGACGGGTTGTCCTTAGATCGTTGGACGTAATGTTCTAAGCCAGGAACTTTGAGTAAACCACCGTCTACCGTTTATCTGTCGGGCAAACTTGTCTTCCCATCTGCCACAGGTTGGTTCACTATGAAACAACGGTGTTTTCTTTGGTAACACCGTTCGTTTGTTGTGTTGGTACATCAGGTGGATGGGCAACGAAGTGGATCCTTTCAAGAAAGGATACCACTTGACCTGATCGACTGAAATCGTTGGTTATGCAGTAACCCACGCTTTGGGTGTTAAAACTGTATCATTCTTCTCCCACTTAACTCATTAAAGAAGGTGATAAAGTATACTAAGTGTTCACATCGGCTAAATATTCAACCTATACATGCAAATCGAATGAATGTTGTACGGATCGTCCGGTAACACGAGGTAGCACTTCTTCTTAGGGTGTCGTTCTTTGTCTTAGACTTAAGCTCTGACGGGTACGGCTGAACTTTTCGAGAATACTTGCCGAAGCAGTCGATTCCCTGGATCATTTGGTGAATTCCATATGAGACAGTGGGATGGGTGAGTAAACGAGTCAAAATGTGGAATTTCTGAGCTCCTGCTATGGCTTCGTAGTTTAGCTGGTAGAGTGCCTGACGCGTTTGGGCATGGTGTCTCCGTCGCTGGTTTGAATCCAGCCGAAGCCCTGACTTTTCACAATTGGGTCTCATGTATAACCCAGCTTTACTGCTTAAGTGAATGAACGTATAACACTGGCAGCACTTTGTTTCCTTTTAAACCTAAGAGCACTGCACGTTACTGTCAATCGACTGGCCTTCTGGGTTTATCACAGGAGCAGGTCTTCTGACATTGCTGGAATGCATCAACCGTATTAATCGCGAACGGCTTGACCACTGGTCTGAAACCTTGTGCCTATTGTCGTGATCACCGTTTCAGTGCATCGGTGTGAGTTCGGATGACACGGAAATCTCACCAGCATGGTGAAGTGTACTCTAGGGGTAGTCTACTTCTTAGTGTGATGTTGCTCGTGGGGATTGTGATCGTATATTAGTGTACCTCAAAATTCGACCGAGAATGATTTATATTGCATCCCCCATGTGTAAGGGACCGCTATCATTGGTTGTGTATGTCATGAATTTCTCTCTGTCTACCTTGTGTTTTCTGTTATAACGTCTCTAACCAAACCACAGTTCGTTTGTTCAGACTGCTGTTTACTACGTCACAAACAACTTCACACGAACAGCTCAAACCATGATTTGCATTTACAACGTTTACCAAGGATGCAAACATAAGGTAGTTGAATATTAAGACCGTATCCCTAAATCGTCTTCGGAGAATGTCGTGAACTGTTACCTGTGTGCCGAGGATTCGCAATTTTTTTTTGCAATCGTTTTTTGGAGAACCTTCTTATCTACAAAGTCGTCTATAGCGCCTAATATGCTTCCTTAGATCTCCTTTGTCTTGATTTAACATTTTAGTAATCCAGTATTTCTAATGTCCATTCATCTACATTTGAACAGCCTACCAACTCATTTATCTCATGAGTTGACCATTGTGGAGTCACTGACACAAACGTGTTCAGATGTTGCTCCTGTTTCGAGCAAGGACTGATTCACATTTCGGACATACCGAAACCTAAGGAGATTAAGATAGTGACAACTGGGGTCATGATTTTATTGATAACCATGGTCTGATTTGAGGATAGTGTGTTTCCATTGATTCTCGGCGAGCATCTACACTGAACAACTAGCAAAAGTGCGAAGCCCCTCAACGAGGCCGGGATTATCTCATCCGCATTCCGTTAAATGACAAAGCTGGTCAACTCTATCGCTTGCTCTCATTCGGACTAGAGCAAAATCTTTAGTTTCTTGATCGTTTTCAAGTTGTGACTGGAAAAGAGCTGGACGCACACGGTCGATTTCAATCTCTCAGGAACTCTGTTTCATGGTTATAAATTGAAAACCATTTGGTTACACGCTACAATAACTCAAACTCTGGAAGAGTAACTTTCAAAGAGCTTTTCTAATTCAAGTGTACATCGTCAGTGGAAAGGAATTTACTGTCGCAAAATAGCCTTCGCGTGATAAAAAAGGCGCTTAGATTAACGTGTGTTCAACTTATAATTATTCGTTTGCAACCTCTTTTACGTACAAAAAATAACGATCCTATTAAACACATTTTGAAAAGAGAAAAAATGTGTGTGGTTGAGTAGAGAAGGACAGTCGCAACTTTCATTGAACTAAATAGTCTGTCTTTCGACCGCACGATCTGAGTACTGAAAGGGAGCGAAAGAAAATAGCACTCAGGATCGTCTCTGGTATGCATGCGTGGGCAGGGAAATCAGATAGACGAAGTATAGGCAAATTGTGTAGGTTCATTTATATACATGGTTACTAATATGATTCGTACAGCTTGATTCAAACTGAGGAGGAAAATATGGGGATTGAAGAGTTCATAGGGAGTCTGGAGATCTGTCAGACCATACAACCATAGTAGTTATTTGAATTTTCCACCGGAAACAGTAAATTTTGGTCAAGGGGCGGGTGTTTTATAAGCGCAGCTGAAGTCACGTTCGGGTCAGCTCTTATCTCGCTCTCTCGTTCCATGATTTCAGCATCCGAACCGTGGTAGAGCGGCCTCGGCTGATTGCCGGTTGTCACAGGGTATCCCATGATCCGTGGAGAGTAAGGTTGTAGTGGATGTTGGTTGCTTGGATTGGAACCGAAGGCGTTTGGCGGGGGGATTATTAAGCCGTCGGATGGATGGGAAATGTCCAGGCGATACTGCGCGTTAGGGAGGTGAAAATCTGCTGCTTGCCTTGATGGGGACAATTGTCCCATAGCCTGATGTATGAGGATAAAATAGGTTATTTGCGTCGGCAACCATACGGTTATTTTATCATCTAAAACTACACTACTTATAAGTAGGCTGTACCGTAAAAAAAATCCAAATCTGTTTGGTGGTTAGTGCAGATTATCATGGGGAAAGTGCTAACAATCATCATCTGGAAGCATTTCTAAAACATCCCAATAATTGAAAACTAGTGGTCCTGTCTGAAAATTATGTTGTGGGTTGAGCTGGTCTCAAAATTTATGCGGAGGTTTGGGGAAAACTGTCAAGATGAGGAGACGCAACACATTGATTTTTTGAAAATGGCACAGACGTGGGTCTGTAATACACACACACACACACACACACACACTCAACTAAAGTTGCATTATTTAAAGCCTTAAAAAAAACAATGTACATCCATCTGTTCTGGCAAGATCAGACCTAACCCAAGCTAACTGAACAGTTGGTTGGCATTTCAGTATCTATTAATCGATTGCTAGTTTTTTGTCTTCAGGAAATGTGGTTGAAATGATCCCCTTAAAAGCCATTTGGATATTCTAATGAACGCTGTGTGCACTGTTGGTGCCCACAAATTGCCCATGAGTACGTCTTTATTTCCGTCTTTTCCATGCACTTTCTATGTTCAATGGCAAGACCGTAAAACCATGACAACACGGTTCGGAATGCAATTAGGACTAGATGTTACCTGATAGGCTCAAGTACACTGTACTTTGACACTCCGGTGCTCTGAAGGTGAATGAACCTTGTGTTCGACGTGCAGTTTACTGGAAGAAACATGTCGAGAAAGCACTGTCAACACTCTTTACTCCTAATTTTGTGTATGCACAGGGGACAGATTTTTTGATGCTGTGATTAGGCGATACTCTATAAAGCTTAATAAACGCATGATGTACCATTAACTTACATGGAATTTATAATTTTTGAAGGAATAACTGCAATTCGAGTGGGTTATGCTCAACGTCAACGGTCATACTAAAACTTCCTCTGAGTCGGTCATTGACAAGTGGGACGAGATAACATAAATCATACAAGAATTTGACACTAGGTTAGGCTTCGCTAATTATTCCTGTACTTGTACGATTATTTAGTGTTTTGAAATCCACGGCGTTCTGAGCAACTATTCAATAGTTGGCGACAGTAGTGCGTCCCATATATGTACGTTTGTTATATGTGTGAATATACTTGCTATATCCTCTATGATGATTAACGTATATCGATTAGATACCATTACTTTTTCAAAGTGAACTGGACATGAGGTAATATCGTTGTGGACCGTGTTTCCCCGTGGATGTTAGGCAACCTGATATATATATATATATATATATAT